CCTCTCAGCCACGGCCGTCGGTCAATCAGTGTATGCAACAGCAGCTCCAAAAGAGATAAGACAGCTATGCGGGTCATCAGCATTTTATGAATTATTGAAGTTCGGTGGCGGTATCTAGAATCCGTCTGCCCCCTCCTGTCTGTGTGCCCGGCTTAGCTGGCACCACCACCCACCATGACTCCAGTTGAGAAAGCTGGCGTACTGTGATGGTGGATTTTTTTTTTTTTCCACACGTGGCCACTTTGCATAGATTTTATGCTATTGAGGTCAAGAAAAATATTCCTTCTTATTCCAACTTCTGTAAATAGTAAATACTTTGCAACCGAAAAAAGCATTCAAGCCATCAGAAAATTCTCCTCTTGAACACACAGTCCTCAAAGCTGAAGTTTCATTTGCTTACATTTTGGCTTTGCCTATTACTCTCTCACAGGGGGGACTGACCATTTGGAAACTCGGGCACTGCCCGAGGGCCCAGGGTCAGTTGGGGGCCCCATGAGATGCCCCTGGTACCTTTTTCATAGGCTTTTTTGAGTTTCGACAAGGACACAGGGGCCCCATGAGTTGTCAGTCTGCCCCTGCTCCCTCCCCCCCCCCCCTCCTTAACACATTAATGACATTTTTTTTATCAATCCTTTCCATTTTTCTTGAACCTGAAAGATTTTGTCTTGTCACAGTCCTAGCTCCAATTAATACAGTCGTTTCCAGGTTCCGTGGAGACTCATCAGGTATGAGATTGTCATATTGAAATTGTGCCAGGCTGGACCATTTGTAAGCATGCAATACGGATCATATATGGAGCTCAAATGTAATATCTCGCTTTCTTTTTTTTTTTTTTTTTAGCCAGTAAGTGCTGATTTAGGCTCCTTTATAACATACATATTTGTAGAAAAAGGAGAAAAGAAAATACTTTGTTTACAGGCTCCATAGCTCAAGCTGCAGTTTCTACAGAAACATTAGTGATTCATCCCTTTTCCAGCGACTTAGGGCTCATGTACACGGGGCGTTTGAAAAACTTTCCTGACCGCTGGAAACTGACTGCTAGAAAACGTAGGTTAAAAATGGCAGTTTATGCGCGTTTAGAAGCGTTTTTAAAGGATAACCTCAGGAGACCCTCCCAAATGCCCAGAATGCATTGAAAAATAGTAAATAATTAACTATTTCAGACATTTTGTGAGAAATAGAGAGAGTAGAAGCAGAGAGTGCAGTATGTGTGGAGATGACCGGTCTTTTCTGGTTGTATTCACTATGGATCCCATCATGAGCATAATGCGGCACATTCTGACATTTTTTCCTTCACGCAAACCTGGAACTGACTGCGCTGATGTACCGGGTCCAATTGAATCCATGGAAAACGCTTTGCATGCATTTCTGATGAAAAAAAAAGTCATTGGACAGCATCTGGATATCCCACATGTAAGAAAAATATATATTAATTACATTTTTTAAATATTCTTCCCAAATATATTGACATATATTTGAAATACTACAATTCTGGCCATATTCAATATATTTAAAAAAAAAAAAAAAAAAAAAAAATATATATATATATATATATATTTTTTTTTTTCTTTTTTCAATTTTTTTTTTTTCAATTTTTATTTTACAATGCTGTTGGGGGAGCATGGATGGGATAACAGGGGTCTGAACTCTCTAGACTCCTGACATCTCACCTTTGAGACAGAGAAAGGAATAGAGGACATGGATTCTTCAATTTCTGTCCTAGCAGCCTCAGTTTACTATGCTTCAGTTATGAATGGACACAGGAGCAATCAGTACCGATCTCTCTCTCTCCATTCAGAAATGGATGGGGCCGGTTCATGACATATTTACCTACCCCTTCCAACGCCCTCCATCCTGACACATCCCCCGCTGTGTATCCGCAGAAGCCAGCAGGAGAGAAAAGCCGGCAGTTGTGCGAAGGGGGCCTGGGAAAACAGGGGGTCACACACAGGAAGCAGAAGTGGGCAGGCCAGGGAGAGGGATTGGCTCGATGGGACGGGGTCAATTATAGCAGGATGCCCTGTGTGCTTCTACCTCCAGTAACTGAAAGCCGGCAGCAGGGAGAGGGGTAGAAACCAGCTTTAAGCTGCACAGGGCATCCTTCTGTAATTGTCCCACCCTACCAATCCCCCTGCCATCTAGGCCCCACTGTGTGCCTAAGACCGGTGATACCCCCTATAAGCAGACTTGCTGCTACCCATGGAACTGACATGGGTCCGCCAGCTAGAAACTTAATAGGCACGGATGTCAACACTCTGACATCTCTCCCATTTTGTAGGGATCTACTGATCAGAGCAGACTCCACTCCGAGTGAAAGGGGCCTTATAGTTTCTTTTAAAGTACTGAGAATTTTGTTCTTCTGGGATTGCTTTGGATCTCGAAATTTTAAATCCAGCGAAATTTTAGCCATGACCCCTTTGGTCACTAAAATAATAAACTCCAACCCTGAATGCATCAAATAATGTTTCAAGGTGCTTTTGGGTCTTAGAAAATAGTAGGATGTGCAAGGATGGTCCGAACACCCTCAGGCACCTGTAGATGCCTGCAACACATGCATATGGATATACTGTAGTAGGGAAGAGTCAGGGCTTTTTTTTTTACTGTCTGTGTCCCCTTTAGGAAGGTTGATGCACTGTCTTATTGGCTTTGTCACCAGGACTAAAAGTGAGGGGAAATCCAAACATTTTGAGCTGCCTAACTTCTCTTGTGATCCAATGACAGTTCTTTCGATTGGTGCTATCAGAAGACAGCTGACCTGATTGATGCCACCTAAAATGGCAAAGTGGCCCGTGGCTTTACGTTCAAGAATTTTGTCACTACTCTTCAGCTGAGCCGCCTTGCTGCAGTACTTACCTGTATCCCTAAGCCTCCTATACCCTCCAAGTCTGCCTTAAGCCTTTGGGTACTCTGTACCTGAAGGTCACTCGCAGTCAGTGTGTCCTCTAGTGACTCCAGTGCACCCAGTTCCTCCAAGTACTCTCCCAGTAATGTGTCCTTTAGGGATTTCAGTATGCCCAATGACTCCAAGTGCACTTCCAGTCATTGTGCCATCCAGTGACTCCACGTGCACTTCCAGTCCATGTATTCTCCAGTGAGTCCAAGGTGTCTAGTTATTCCAGGTGTGTTCTCAGTACAGATGTCATCTAGTAACTCCAGGGTACCCAGTACCTCCAGTTGCGCTCCCAGTATCGTCTAGTGACTCCAATGTGACCAGTGATTCCAAGTGTACTCTCAGTCCACGTGTCATCTAGTGACTCTTAGTGTGTACAAGTGTACTCCCAGCCCACGTACCATCGTGTGATTCCAGTGCACACAGTGATTTCAAGTGCACTCCCAATCCATGTGTCATCATGTGAGTCTAGTGTGCCCAGTGACTCAGTGTGATTCCAGTCCACGTGTCTATAGACTCCAGTACACCCAGTGACTCAAGGTGCCCTACCATTCCACTGATAGTGCAGTCCAAACCTGACAGAGGCTTCAACCATTCAATACTCTATCCTTGAAAAAAAAGGTCCTTAAATAGTTCATGTCTTATGTAGTGACTCCAGTGCGCCCAATGAGTCCAAGTGTATTCTCAGTCCATGTCTCATCTAGTGACTCCAATGCGCTCAATGAGTCCAAATGTACTCCCATGCCATGACTCATCTAGTGACTCCAGTGCGCCAAGTAAGTCCTTGTGTACTACCAGTCCACGTCTCATCTAGCGACTCCAGTGCGCCCAGTGAGTCTAAGTGTTCTCCCAGTCCATATCTCATCTAGTGACTCCAGTGCGCCCAGCAAGTCCAAGTATACTCCCAGTCCATGTCTCAACTAGTGACTCCAGTGCGCCCAGCAAGTCCAGGTGTAGTCCCAGGTCCATGTGGCATCTAATAACTCTAATGCGCCTAGTGGGTCCAAGTGTACTCCCAATGCATGTGACATCTAATAACTCTAATGCACTCAGTGAGTTCAAATGTACTCCCAGTCCATGTCTCATCTAGTGACTCCAGTGCGCCTAGTGAGTCCAAGTGTAATCCCAGTTCGTGTCTTATCTAGTGACTCCAGTGCGCCTAGTGAGTCCAAGTGTACTCCCAGTCCATGTCTCATCTAGTGACTCCAGTGCTCCCAGTGAGTCCAAGTGTACTCCCAGTCCGTGTCTCATCTAGTGACTCCAGTGCTCCCAGTGAGTCCAAGTGTACTCCCAGTCCGTGTCTCATCTAGTGACTCCAGTGCTCCCAGTGAGTCCAAGTGTACTCCCAGTCCGTGTCTCATCTAGTAACTCCAGTGCACCTAGTGAGTCCAAGTGTAATCCCAGTTCGTGTCTTATCTAGTGATTCCAGTGCGCCCCGTGAGTCCAAGTGTACTCCCAGTCCATGTCTCATCTAGTGATTCCAGTGCACCTAGTGAGTCCAAGTGTACTCCCAGTCCATGTGACATCAAATAACTCCAATGTGCCCAGTGAGGCCAAATATGCTGCCTGTCATTATCTCATTTAGTGACTCTAGTGCACCTAGTGAGTCCAAGTGTATTCCCAGTTCATGTCTCATCTAGTGACTTCAATGTGCTAAATGAGTCCTAGAGTACTCCCAGTACATGTCTCATCTAGTGACTCCAGTGCGCCCAGTGCATTAGTGAGTCCAAGCGCACCACTAGTCCACTGGTAGTGTAGTCCAAACCTAACATGGACTTTAACAATTTCATACTCTATCCTAAATAAAAAAAAATACATTTAGAAACACTTTAACTTGGAAGGATCAGGGGACAAAGGCAGTTGGTACAGGTTTTTAACCTATCAGGAGCCCTGAATGGGTAGTGTCTCTTTAAAGATAAAGGAAAAATGCATTTCCAGAAGTTTATATAAATTTTGAATTTCTCAGGAGTATGGTATGTTTTTTTATTAATGTTAACTTTTGTATGTTTCCATTCACCTCTACAGATGCAGCCAAGTTGCACCGTTGTGATGGACACTCTTGTAACCCACCAGTTGGGAACCTTGCAACTGGCCGGATACCGGTCACACTCACCACTTGTGGAAAGGATGCCAGCGAACTATACTGCTTTTACACCGAGGGCCAGTTATTCCACAAGGCCCGGCCTCCTGTGGTCCACCCCAGTGTACAAAGTGTAGTCACAATCAACCTGAGAATTCCCACCTACCTGCTCACATGACAGATGATGTGTTCTCAAGTCCGGCTACGTGGTGGCAGTCTGCCCAAAGTGTCCTCCGGGAGGAGATAAGGCTGGACTTCGAGACAGAGTTCTACCTGACCCATGTCATCATGGTCTTCAAGTCTCCCCGCCCAGCAGCCATGGTGCTGGAGAGGTCTGGGGACCACGGCAAGACCTGGCGGGCTTATAAATACTTTGCAACTAACTGTACAGCCACTTTCGGTTTGGCAGATGACATGTTCGAGGAGGGAGCACGGTGTACTTCCAGGTATTCGGACTCCTGGCCCTGTACAAAAGGGGAGGTAAGAAGTCTTCCATCTGTACAAGAAAAAAAAATGGCAACCACCCCAACCTAGAGCTACCCTTTGCAGCAAGGTGCCCATGGAAGGGCAACGAACATCACAAACAAAAGATTTCCCAGCACACTTTCTGGCCAGCCTGAAAAACAACCAAATTGACCCTGTCTAACAATTCACATTAAAAACAGAGGGTTTTGTTTGCACACATTTCCAATTATATCCATAAGCCGCAGTGCCCACGTCAAGGCTCCTCTGTATACTGCAGTCCTAACTCTATAATTTGGGAGTCCCCCAGTTGGAGCACATATAGCAGTGGATAGACTAAGGGCAGGTATGCCTAGAGGGAGTCCATCCCCTCCTTTTATAGGCTGGCTGGAGAGTGTGCTGGGAAATCCTTTGTTTGTGAAGAGGTCTTCCATGCAGCCTAAAGCAGAACTATTTACATAGATTAAATACGTATAAGGACAACTGTTTTGCCTATAATTCTACTGTAAGCGCTGCAGTAAAACTAATTGGCTCATTGTCCTGCTTCCCCCTTCTCCTGGACTGAGCTCTGCTGATACCAAGTCCTACTCAGATACTTACACTGCTTGCAAAAAAAATAAATTCAATACAGAGCTGCATTCGTTTGTGTCTTTTATAAATGCCCGGAGTCCAGCTTTAAAGAGAACCTGTCATCACATTACACACTTAACACATAGTTTGTCTTTTTAGCTTTCTCCACAGAAAATAACGTTGGTTTTCTAAGATGTAATGCGGTTCTGCAGTCCTTTAAGATACAAATGGTGCTTAGTGAAATTCTTTTTAACCTCTTGGTGCTGGCCTAACGCAAATGTGCAGCCTCCCGGCATCTGGGCCTATCACTGAGTGGCCGCACATTTGCGTTCTATTAAAAAAACACATATGTGCTGAGAGCGCGTGCCGCACACGCTCCCAGCACACAAATTCAGTACTCGCGGGAAGGTCCTCATCTCCTCTTTTGATTGGGACCTTTCCCAATCATGTGGCAGCGAATCATGGCAGTCACATGACCCTAAAACCCCGTCCCACCTCCCAGCTTCTGGAACCCTTAAAGGGCCGGGAGGCGCCGGCACCAAGGGGTTAAACAGCCATTCAAGGCCATTCAATTATATCTGTAAGACTAGATGTCCAGAGCACCCCCCCCCCACCCTTCCATCAGATGTCAAGAGCCCACCCTCCAAAGGAAGAAATGTGCCATCATGTCAAATGTGCTTCTGCCGGGAAGAAGCTGGGGGCAGAGCTGGGAAACAAAGTGCAGGGTCTGGAGGAGGACCAGAGGGCTGGAGTCAGCTGCTGGAGAATGCTGAGACCAGGGGAGGCAGAGATGAGGGGGTGCTGCGATTGCACAGAGAAGTGCAGGATCTGTGGGAGGAGTTCTGTCCTTCTCTTTGCTGCCGACTGCTGAGACAAGGAGAGGTGTGGCAGAGACAAGCCTCTCCATGGCTACCTGGAGAAGCACAGGAGCTGGCAGAGGAGTTCTGTCTGCCTCTCCTCTGCTGACTGTTGGGACAAGGTGGGGGCAGAGATGAGGGGGGTGCCCTAGCTGCAGGAGAGGTGCAAAGGCCACATGAAATGGCCTGGTGGGCCGGATAAGGCCCATTAGTGTATGGCTAATGCAGTGATACAAAAACTGCATTTGTGCTAAAATATGAAATTCCACTTAGTTTCCCTTAATCTGAGTTCTGTGTAATCTTTTCTAGGTAGATTCCAGAAAACACTTCACAAGGTGGGAGGATTATGAGGAGCTATTTTGTGCTGACCCTTTTTGTACATCAGATACAGTTTATACATTCAAAAAACATCCAACGCTTTGTTCCTCTTTCCCTTGACTCCCGTGACCTTCCTTCCCCTCCAAACCCTCGTCATCTCCCTTTCTGATTCCAGTGGGAATCACCTCTGCTCTTCAACACTGCATTGTGGTGGGGCTGTAGTACCCACGCCCATAATCAAGATGGTTTGAAAGTTCTCGGTTACCTGAAGACTTGGTTGGCCCCAAACCCTTATGCAGAAGCCATGCACATAACCAGTCCTCTAGGGCCCTAGCATTATTCTCCTATGAGCGCTCTACTGAAAGTAATGCAAATGTCTTCCTCTTTCTCTCCCCATGACCTTCCTTCTCCTCCAAACCTTCTTCATCAACCTTACTGATTGCTATGGGAATCACCTCTGCTCTTCAGTACTGCATTGTGGTTGGGCTGGAGTACTCACGCTCATATTCAAGATGCCTAAAAGTTCTCAGCTACCCAAAGACGTTCTTGGCCCCAACCATTATGCAGAAGCCATGCACATAACCAGTCTTCTAGGGCCCTAGCATTATTCTCCTATGAGCGCTCTACTGAAAGTAATGCAAATGTTTTCCTCTTTCTCTTGACCCCCATGACCTTCCTTCTCCTCCAAACCTTCTTCATCTCCCTTTCTGATTGCTATGGGAATCACCTCTGCTCTTCAGTACTGCATTGTGGTTGGGCTGGAGTACCCACACCCATAATCAAGATGGTTTGAAAGTTCTCGGTTACCTGAAGACTTGGTTGGCCCCAAACCCTTATGCAGAAGCCATGCACATAACCACTCTTCTAGGGCCCTAGCATTATTCTCCTATGAGCGCTCTACTGAAAGTAATGCAAATGTTTTCCTCTTTCTCTTGACCCCCATGACCTTCCTTCTCCTCCAAACCTTCTTCATCAACCTTTCTGATTGCTATGGGAATCACCTCTGCTCTTCAGTACTGCATTGTGGTTGGGCTGGAGTACCCACGCCCATAATCAAGATGGTTTGAAAGTTCTCGGTTACCTGAAGACTTGGTTGGCCCCAAACCCTTATGCAGAAGCCATGCACATAACCAGTCCTCTAGGGCCCTAGCATTATTCTCCTATGAGCGCTCTACTGAAAGTAATGCAAATGTCTTCCTCTTTCTCTTGACCCCCATGACCTTCCTTCTCCTCCAAACCTTCTTCATCAACCTTACTGATTGCTATGGGAATCACCTCTGCTCTTCAGTACTGCATTGTGGTTGGGCTGGAGTACTCACGCTCATATTCAAGATGCCTAAAAGTTCTCAGCTACCCAAAGACGTTCTTGGCCCCAACCATTATGCAGAAGCCATGCACATAACCAGTCTTCTAGGGCCCTAGCATTATTCTCCTATGAGCGCTCTACTGAAAGTAATGCAAATGTTTTCCTCTTTCTCTTGACCCCCATGACCTTCCTTCTCCTCCAAACCTTCTTCATCTCCCTTTCTGATTGCTATGGGAATCACCTCTGCTCTTCAGTACTGCATTGTGGTTGGGCTGGAGTACCCACACCCATAATCAAGATGGTTTGAAAGTTCTCGGTTACCTGAAGACTTGGTTGGCCCCAAACCCTTATGCAGAAGCCATGCACATAACCACTCTTCTAGGGCCCTAGCATTATTCTCCTATGAGCGCTCTACTGAAAGTAATGCAAATGTTTTCCTCTTTCTCTTGACCCCCATGACCTTCCTTCTCCTCCAAACCTTCTTCATCAACCTTTCTGATTGCTATGGGAATCACCTCTGCTCTTCAGTACTGCATTGTGGTTGGACTGGAGTACTCACGCTCATATTCAAAATGCCTAAAAGTTCTCAGCTACCCAAAGACGTGGTTGGCCCCAACCATTATGCAGAAGCCATGCACATAACCAGTCTTCTAGGGCCCTAGCATTATTCTCCTATGAGCGCTCTACTGAAAGTAATGCAAATGTTTTCCTCTTTCTCTTGACCCCCATGACCTTCCTTCTCCTCCAAACCTTCTTCATCTCCCTTTCTGATTGCTATGGGAATCACCTCTGCTCTTCAGTACTGCATTGTGGTTGGGCTGGAGTACCCACACCCATAATCAAGATGGTTTGAAATTTCTCGGTTACCTGAAGACTTGGTTGGCCCCAAACCCTTATGCAGAAGCCATGCACATAACCATTCTTCTAGGGCCCTAGCATTATTCTCCTATGAGCGCTCTACTGAAAGTAATGCAAATGTTTTCCTCTTTCTCTTGACCCCCCATGGCCTTCTTTCTCCTCCAAACCTTCTTCATCTCCCTTTCTGATTGCTATGGGAATCACCTCTGCTCTTCAGTACTGCATTGTGGTTGGGCTGGAGTACCCACACCCATAATCAAGATGGTTTGAAAGTTCTCGGTTACCTGAAGACTTGGTTGGCCCCAAACCCTTATGCAGAAGCCATGCACATAACCACTCTTCTAGGGCCCTAGCATTATTCTCCTATGAGCGCTCTACTGAAAGTAATGCAAATGTTTTCCTCTTTCTCTTGACCCCCCATGGCCTTCCTTCTCCTCCAAACCTTCTTCATCTCCCTTTCTGATTGCTATGGGAATCACCTCTGCTCTTCAGTACTGCATTGTGGTTGGGCTGGAGTACTCACGCTCATATTCAAGATGCCTAAAAGTTCTCAACTACCCGAAGACGTGGTTGGCCCCAACCATTATGCAGAAGCCATGCACATACCAGTCTTCTAGGGCCCTAGCGTTATTCTCCTATGAGCGCTCTACTGAAAGTAATGCAAACGGCTTCCTCTTTCTCTTGACCAGTATTACCTTCCTTCTCCTCCAAACTCTCTTCATCTCCCTTTCTGATTGCTATGGGAATCACCTCTGCTCTTCAAAACACCATTGCGGTTGGGCTGGAGTACCCACGCCCATATTTAAGATGCTGAAAAGTTCTCATCTACCTGAAGACTTGGTTGGCCCCAACCCTTATGCAGAAGCCATGCACATAACCATTCTTCTAGGGCCCTAGCATTATTCTCCTACAACGGGCCCTACCGAAAGTAATGTAAAAGTGTGCATAATTTTATTTTTAACTCTTCTACAGTAACTCTTCTTCCTCTTTTTTATTGCAGGTAAATAATGGATTCCAAGCAGAAGCAACAAGCCGTCATTGAGTTCTTGGCAAAGGAGGAGCGCAGGCTGTCTGACATCCACAGAAGGTTACAGAACCATTGACAAGAGCAATGTCTTGTCCTTGGTGACTGGTGTCATCTCCGTAAATATTCTGTAGTCTTCTGTGGATGTTGGACAGCCTGCACCTTTCCTTTGTCAAGAACTCAATGATGGATCTTTGCTTCTGCTTGGAATCCATTGTTTGCCTACAATAAAAAAAGAAGAAAGAAAAGTTACTGCAGAGGAAGAGTTAGTTCACCAGCATGTGAAATTTCAAGCACCTATGTAAGTTGAAAAAAACTTTTACTTTTGGTACAGCCCTCATATTGCCACCCAACAAACAATACTGTATCGGCCAACTCCTCCTGGTTCCTGGGGAGCCAGTCCATAGAAAATTATCCATGAAATGATTCTGGGTAGTTATTTGAATGCGCATGAGATAGACACAGATGTATGGGTACTAACCCCCTGAACCTTCAGGAGGTACTTGCCCTGCTGTTCTAACATCTTCCCCTTCCTATGTTTCTTGTGTACATGTATTCCCATCTAATGAGTTCACACATCATGCATACCAGGACTGGATAAATTCCAAGAGCCAGGCAGCCAATGCACCTTAAAGATTACAGCCAGGGCCATGGATAAAGGGATACCACCAGTCTTCATGTATGGGGCCCAGACTAGCAGGGATGCCCCGGATGTGAGCAGGGGCAGTAATTGGCATGGCGAGGGGGGCAATTACTGTAACCAATCCCCTGTATGGCTCTCTCTGCAGCAGCTGAAAACTGCCTTCTTCTCTCCCTCCCACTGGCTTTCAGCTGCTGCAGAGAGATCCATGCAGGGGATCAGTTACGGTAACTGCACCCATCACCCTTCCTGTTTCCCCCTGCTGCCCAGGCCCTCCCGTGTACCCCCTCCCCCGCAGTACCCATATGGAAGAAAAATATATTTGAAATATATTTTAAAAATACTCTTCCCAAATATATTCACTTATATTTGAAATACTACAATTTTGGCCATATTCAACGTATTTCAATAAATAAATATATATATATATATATATATATACTGCATGTGTTTTTTATACATTACAAAATATATGAAAAATATTTTTAAAAATATATATTTTTTTTACATATCTTCAGATTTTTATTAACATATAAAAAAGTCATTTTAACATATATATTTTTTCATATATTTGTAAATACATTCCAAAAATGTAGATTTGTATTTTTAAAGACATGCAGTATATTTGAAATATATTTTTAAAATATTTTTCATATATTTTGTAATTAAAACACATTTCAACATGCAGTGTATATATATATATATATATATATATATATATACACACACACGATATTCTAATTTTTCGAGTTTCACCTGCATATATATAAATAAAAAAAAAATATATATATATTTATTTATTTATATATATATATATATATATATATATATATATATATATATTTATTTATTGAAATATATTGAATATGGCCAAAATTGTCGCATTTCAAATATATGTCAATATATTTGGGAACAATGTTTTTAAAATATATTTCATATATATTTTTCTTCCATGTGTGGGTACCTCTGATTTCCCTCCTCTCCTTCCCTCCGGCAGCTGCAAGCACACAATGGGATCATTCAGGATGGAGAGTGGTGGAGGGTCCGGAAAATATGTTACATTTACCAGCTCATTCCTTTCCAGAATGAACGCAGTGAGTGATCGGTGCCAGCCACTCACTGTGTTCATTCATAACTGCAGCATAGCAAAACGTGTTTTTTTTTTTCACGAGGGGGGGGGGGGGGGGGGCTATCAAGTTGGCTGTATGGGGCCCCGTGGTCTCTAACAGCAGCTCTGATTACAGCTGGCGCCAACTTTTGATATTGGATGTTGGTAGTAGAGCTGGCTCCTAAAAAGAACTCCTGCTTTCTCCTGGTTTGGACAGACTGATGCCTGAATTCCATATTCAATTGTCCGCCTCTGATGTACACCCCAAAACATCCGTACAGCTTGGCTATGTGTCCAAAATACAAATACAATCTCATTATGGTTTTGGGGGTTCCAGAAAGCCCCTTCATTGAGGACTTCATAGGCGATGGTTGACTGGACAAAGGATCTGGGCAATAAAAGTTTGGAAATCCTGGAGCTAAATTTGGAAGCAGGATAAGATGTTAAACCAGTGATTGGAGCGGACCTTATGGTTCTTCCCAAAATAAATGGGAAATTCTCTGTACTTTTACAAACTTTGAGATGTTTCCAGTACCGGAAGAGGTTTGTCCAGCTCATGGGGTGGCTGCCCCTCCTGCCCACCCCTTGTCGCGGCCCTGGATGTTACTCCAAGGGCCAAGTCAGGGCCCTGGTGCACTTGAGAGGTGCTTGAGAAAAGAGCCGTCACACAAATTGGACTAGTCGCCTCCACTGGGCTCCACCATCTTTTAATCAAGATTTCCAGAATATAAAAGGCAGCAAGGAGGAAGCCTGGAGGATTGCATGGAGGGATGCGCCCCGACTTTACCTGGATTCCAACTGGAAGCTCTAAGCTATGGCGGAACTTGGGTCAGAGTGCCACCAGCCCAGGAATTTGGGGAAAATCATCCAAATAGACTAATAAATGTGCGGTTCGTTTTGTTCCAAATCGATATTTGGACGAAATTTTCATTATTCAGAGATTCGGATGTATCCAAATTTCTTAATTACAATAGTAATACGTAGGGATGCACCGATGCTGCTTTTTTTTTTTCGGCGAGAATAAGTACTGATACTTTCGGTCGAGTACTCGCCGATGCTTTGCGGTGCAATTTGCTTTACTGGACACAAATTGCAGCGCAAAGCATAGTATTCGCTTCGAACAGGAATGCAACAGCTTTTCCTATACATAGTTTCAGTACTTTGTGGTGCAATTTGCTTTATTGGACGCAAATGGCAGCGCAAAGAATAACAGGAATGCAACAGCTTGGCCTATACATGATTCAGTACTTCGCCCCTTCTCTTGTAGGTGATATTTCGTGCCATAACTCCGGCGAACAGGATTGAAGACCCCTACAGCCTCCAGGCCCAGGACCAGCTAAAGATCACCAACCTCCGGCTCCTCCTTTTAAAGAGACAGGAATGCCCCTGCCAAAGCGCGCCCGGGTCCTTGGAGAAGCCGCAAAGGTTCGCTCATTACGCCATCTACGACCTCATCGTCCGCGGAAGCTGCTTCTGCAACGGACACGCCGAGGAGTGCGAGCAGACTGGGAACGCGGCCGGTGTGGACACCATGGTGAGTCAAGGAAAATATTATTGCTGAACTCCAGGATAAGCCGGTATTGTCTAAATCCATTCATTGTGTGTCTTCTCCTTGAAACTCGTGAGATTTGTGTATTTCTTCCAGATCTGGGCACATTTCCTGTAATAAAGACCACTCACTGCTGCCCTCTCTCCTTGTGCAGGGTGACTGGTCTTGTCTCCACCCCCAGTTTTCTGTAGTAGGTGGAATCTGCTGGGCCCCTCCCACAGCTCTGCTCTCTGCACAGGCTATATACAGTCCAGTGATGATGTCACCGCTAATGTTACAAAGCTGTTAGGTGCTTAATTATATCCTTTATGGCTATTGATGATTATATCAACTACCTGGGTTAGTAAACCCCAGACCCCGCATTCACTATAACCGCTCTCCCCGGACCCCGCATTCACTATAACCGCTCTCCCCGGACCCGCATTCACTATATCCGCTCTCCCCGGACCCCGCATTCACTATATCTGGTCTCCCCGGACCCCGCATTCACTATATCTGGTCTCCCCGGACCCCGCATTCACTATATCCGCTCTCCCCGGACCCCGCATTCACTATATCTGGTCTCCCCGGACCCTGCATTCACTATATCTGGTCTCCCCGGACCCCGCATTCACTATATCTGGTCTCCCCGGACCCTGCATTCACTATATCTGGTCTCCCCGGACCCCGCATTCACTATATCTGGTCTCCCCGGACCCCGCATTCACTATATCTGGTCTCCCCGGACCCCGCATTCACTATATCCGCTCTCCCCGGACCCCGCATTCACTATATCTGGTCTCCCCGGACCCCGCATTCACTATATCCGCTCTCCCCGGACCCCGCATTCACTATATCCGCTCTCCCCGGACCCCGCATTCACTATATCCGCTCTCCCCGGACCCCGCATTCACTATATCCTCTCTCCCCGGACCCCGCATTCACTATATCCGCTCTCCCCGGACCCCGCATTCACTATATCCGCTCTCCCCGGACCCCGCATTCACTATATCTGGTCTCCCCGGACCCCGCATTCACTATATCTGGTCTCCCCGGACCCCGCATTCACTATATCCGCTCTCCCCGGACCCCACATTCACTATATCCGCTCTCCCCGGACCCCGCATTCACTATATCTGGTCTCCCCGGACCCCGCATTCACTATATCCGCTCTCCCCGGACCCCACATTCACTATATATGGTCTCCCTGGACCCCGCATTCACTATATCCGCTCTCCCCGGACCCCGCATTCACTATATCCGCTCTCCCCGGACCCCGCATTCACTATATCCGGTCTCCCCGGACCCTGCATTCACTATATCCGCTCTCCCCGGACCCCGCATTCACTATATCCGCTCTCCCCGGACCCTGCATTCACTATATCCAGTCTCCCCGGACCCCGCATTCACTATATCCGCTCTCCCCGGGCCCTGCATTCACTATATCTGCTCTCCCCGGACCCTGCATTCACTATATCCGGTTTCCCCGGACCCCGCAATCACTATATCCGCTCTCCCCAGACCCCGCATTCACTGTATCTGCTCTCCCCGGACCCTTCATTCACTATATATGGTCTCCCAGGACCCCGCATTCACTATATCCACTCTCCCCGGACCCCGCATTCACTATATCCGCTCTCCCCAGACCCCGCATTCACTGTATCTGTATTTGGTCTCCCTCAGTACACACAACATGGAAATGCAATTGTTTTAGTAAATATAAATTGTTAAATACCTTTTCTCATCAGCAATATATAGCAGTCTTATGACTTCTATCAGTGTTCAGCAGAGCACTGATTAAAGCTTGTAGGAGGAGTTTTCTTTCTGCTCTAGGAGGATGCAGAACTCCTGACCTCTGTCTGGACAGTGCTGATTGGCCCTGTGCTGATCACATGCACTCTCCCAAGAAAAAAAAAAAAACCCTCTTTAGCAATACACACCAAACCAAACTGAGCATGTGCAGAGTGACTACACACGATATGTCTTATCAGGAGATAAGAGGGGGGACACTGGAAGAAGGGGGGGATCAGAGAAGGCAGGATCAGACCTCCTTTTTCCACAGTGCGGAGGGAAAACCCCTTAGGTCCCGCAGTGAGTATAACAAGCATGCTTTACTGCATCTACAGACTGATTGGACTGCTGGGGGTTTAGTAACACTTTATATGAACATTTTTTGTGCCTGAAGCTTAACTTTAACAACAGAATGAAGTTGTTTTAAACATTTGCAGCGAATGAAACTTTCAGCGACATTTGTGTCCCTTATCCTAAAATTCTTTTCTCTTTCTCTCATCAGGAGATGCAGCTGTGGACTGAAGATCAGCCATATACAAGAGGGTTATATACTGTCACCTCCAGCTCCCACTTACATATGGCCGATCCTCAGTCAACAGCTGCAACTCTTGGTAAGTGAAAGAGAAATCCTTTGTTCACATTTTCCCATTCTTTATTTCAATCTCAGTGCTGCTGATCTCCTCCAGCCTCTTTCAGACGCTTCATGTCTACATGCACTTGCTCCAGCGTCAGCAGCACATTGTTGCTCTGATCTAGCTTCTTAATAGTGACAACAATGGACCATGCCCAATATGAGTTGGTAGTCTCCATTGGGGTTGCATGTGACAGGGTGACAACACAGGAACACAAATGGGAGATAAGGACAGGTGTTGTCACCTCATAACAGGAGGTGTCTGAAGACGGACCTTCACGACAGGATGGCCAGATTCATTTTTAGACAGATTGAAACAATATTATGTGCTGGTAGTCTCCATGGGGGTTGCATGTGACAGGGTGACAACACAGGAACACAAATGGGAGATAAGGACAGGTGTTGTCACCTCATAACAGGAAGTGTCTGAAGACGGACCTTCACGACAGGATGGCCAGATTCATTTTTAGACAGATTGAAACAATATTATGTGCTGGTAGTCTCCATGGGGGTTGCATGTGACAGGGTGACAAAACAAGAACACAAACAGGAGACAAGGACAAGTGTTGTCACCCCATAACAGGAAGTGTCAACGGTTGACCATGCCCACCCAATATTTGTTGGTAGTCTCTATCGGGGGTGCATGTGACAGAGTGACAACGCATGAACACAAATGGGAGATAAGGATAAGTGGTGTCACCCCATAACAGGAAGTGTCAACGGTTGACCGTGCCCGCTCAATATTTGTTGGTAGTCTCTATCGGGGGGTGCATGTGACAGGGTGACAACACAGGAACACAAATGGGAGATAAGGACAGGTGTTGTCACCTCATAACAGGAAGTGTCTGAAGACGGACCTTCACGACAGGATGGCCAGATTCATTTTTAGACAGATTGAAACAATATTATGTGCTGGTAGTCTCCATGGGGGTTGCATGTGACAGGGTGACAAAACAAGAACACAAACAGGAGACAAGGACAAGTGTTGTCACCCCATAACAGGAAGTGTCAACGGTTGACCATGCCCGCCCAATATTTGTTGGTAGTCTCTATCGGGGAGTGCATGTGACAGAGTGACAATGCATGAACACAAATGGGAGACAAGTACAAGTGTTGTCACCCAGTAACAGGAAATGTCAATTGTGGGCCATGCCTTCCCAATATTTGTTGGTAGTCTCCATCAGGGATGCATGTGACAGGGTGACAACGCAGGAACACAAATGGGAGTTAAGGACGAGTGTTGTCACCCCGTAACAGGAAATGTCAATTGAGGATCATGCCTGACCAGTAATTGTTGGTAGTCACCTTTGGGAGTACATGTGACAGGGTGACAACACAGGAACACTAATAGGAGACAACAACAAGTGTTGTCACCCCGTAACAGGAAATGTCAATTGAGGATCATGCCTGACCAGTAATTGTTGGTAGTCACCTTCGGGAGTACATGTGACAGGGTGACAACACAGGAACACTAATAGGAGACAACGACAAGTGTTGTCACCCCGTAACAGGAAGTATCAGTGGTGGACCCTACCTGCTCATTATGTCTTGGTGGTCTGCATCGGGGGGAGCATGTGACAGGGAGACAGAACAGAAACACAGATGGAAGACAAGGACAAGTGTTGTCACACCGTAACAGGAAATGTCAACTATGGACCATGCCTGCCCAATATTTGTTGGTTATCTCCATCCGGGGTGCATCTAACAGGGTGACAATGCAGGAACACAAATAGGAAATAAGGACAAGTGTTGTCACCCTGTAACAGGAAATGTCAACTATGGACCATGCCTTCTCAATATGTGTTTGGTAGTCTCCATCGGGGGTGCATGTGACAGGGTGACAATGCAGGAACACAAATGGGAGACAAGGACAAGTGTTGTCACCCCGTGACAGGAAATGTAATTTGTGGCTCATGCCTGACCAGTATTTGTTGGTAGTCTCCTTCGGAAGTGCATGTGACAGGGTGACAACACAGGAACACTAATAGGAGACAAGGACAAGTGTTGTCACACCGTAACAGGAAATGTCACCTATGGGCCATGCCTGCCCTATATTTTTTGGTAGTCTCCATCTGGGGTGCATGCATGTGACAGGGTGAAAATGCAGGAACACTAATAGGAGACAAGGACAAATGTTGTCACCCCATAACAGGAAGTGTCAACTATGGACCATGCCTGCCCTATATTTGTTAGTAGTCTCCTTCGGGAGTGCATGTGACAGGGTGACAACGCAGGAACACAAATGGGAGACAAGGACAAGTGTTGTCACCAGAGGCGGACTGACAACTCATGGGGCCCCCGGGCAATAGGGGATCATGGGGCCCCTGTGTCCTTGCCCAAACTCAACAAAGCCTATGAAAAAGGTACCAGGGGCATCTCATGGGGCCCCCTACTGACCCTGGGCCGTCGAGCAGTGCCCGAGTTTCCAAAAATGGTCAGTCTGCCCCTGGTTGTCACCCCATAACAGGAAGTGTCAACTGTGGACCATGCCTGCCCTATATTTGTTAGTAGTCTCCTTCGGGAGTGCATGTGACTGGGTGACAACGCAGGAACACAAATGGGAAATAAGGACAAGTGTTGACACACCGTAACAGGAAATGTCACCTATGGA